TGACTGTTGTAAATCTTTCCATTTCACACTTTTTTGTGACCCCTTGGTATTCCCTTGATATGGTAGTTAGTTAAGAGATTATTTGGAAAATGTATGGTGGAAGTTGCCAAATATGGGGTGCAGAAGGAACTCCTCAAAAAGGTATGTCAAGTTGGTCTGTTATGTTGACTGGATTATACTAGTATATTTTTTGTATAGTCTTCTACATATTTCCCAGTATCCAATTTTGGACTTGCATGATCCCCTCCCAACTTGAGGAATTTTCCAGATAGGAAATGTGATCTGCATTCAGGATAATGCATAAATGATGTCATAAATGCGAACTATTTGAGCATCTGTTAGGATCAGGTATTTAGAGACCATTGATGAATAAATTTTGCTTGTGAATAAGAAATATGAATGCGAACTATATTAGTGTCATGTAAGAGTTCCAATGACTTGCTCAGGTTGATTCAATGCGGCAACACTTGAAAATTTTACATGAAGCCGGTTTAGCAGACTCATGAGCCTCTCTTTAGAGACGTTTCCTCCCGCCACCCCTTAGCTGGACTGTATTTTATAACTTGTCATCTTTTCTTTTGGGCCGCTCCTTTTCACAAGATTGTGTTCATGTTTATTTTGTAAAAGTATTCATTCACAAGGCTTAATAAAAGAGGGTTAATTGAAGCATAATATTTTCAGGGGCTCAAGAAAAATCAACTACTTTCATTTGTTTGTGCAATGTAATCAATTATGCTTTACAATAAGGTCCCAATGGAGCACATTAAAAAAAAACATGCCCCCGTGGGAGATAGAATAAGGTCCTAGTGGGTGTTTGGATTGACTGGTTGCAAGCAGGATGGATGCAGAAGAATAATGGGTGGGTTATAGGTACATCAGTTGAGGTTTGTTCAGGTAGTGGTAATGAAAGTTTTGGAGATGGAGAAAGCACAGGGGAAGATAGAAATTCAGTCGATGGTAATAATAATCCAGAAAATTTTAAATAAATATCATTTCTATCTTGGAGCTATGGAGCTATAGTCAACATCTGAAAACTTTTTTCCTGATTGTGCCATGTAGAACACTTCCTGATTTTCTTGCATCATTTTTGCACCCATAAATTTAGGAAATTTGTCACATGGCTCCTAGCCAAGAGAAGCATTTTGAACTAAGCAGAATTGAGTCATAATGGACTACAAAACCTCCCTATGTTCACAATGGTCATGGATTGTATTCCATGTCCATATTCTTGCAAGGAACTCACATAGCTTCTAGGTTATTGTTAGACTAATAGATTATTCAAAATTGGGCTATGCGCAATTTCAGTAGGGAGCATGGAGATATTTAGGTTTGATGAGATCTCTAGATGGTTGTAATAGTGGCCATAAATGAAAGTGCATACATTTTTTTTCAAAATTTTTGTGTTTAGGAAATGGAAAATTACTGCCAATACTCCCAGAAATGTGAGATTTCACATGAACATTCCAAGAGGACACGATGATAATCACTCCTCCCAAAATTTAAACAATTTGACAACAATATCAAAATTTTCATTTTACATGAATCCCATTTTTTCACAAGTACAATGTATTTAATGGCATATCGTTGTTAAAATATTCAAATTCCCGGAGTAGTGGTGATCATTTTGTAATATTGGAGTATATGTGAAATCTCAAATTTCTAGTCATGAATTTCTCCTTGGGAAATTGACAGTATATGAAAATGTTTTTCAAATCTGTTTTGTTATGCTAAACTTTTCAGTGTTCAACTTTAGTATGTAATCTATTTTCCATCCTTTTCCTAGAAAATTCAAGAGTCTCGTTTAGGGAAGAAATAGAGAAGATAGAAATGGGTGATAAAGAAATGGAGAAGAGAGAATAGTTATGGGACTCACGACTCCCACTTCTCTCCTCTCCATTTTCCATCACCAACCTGAAGAAGTTTTTCATTTCTTCCTGATTTCACTCTCAATGCATTAGAATTTTAATTTCATTTAGTTGGTTATTTTGATTAATTAGTTTTGCAATGCTTCATTTTTAGGGTGGACAATTGGCTGCGGTTAACCTAGAGTCAAGGTTGGCCTTCCTTGCTGCAAAAGAGGTGTGTTGTCTTCAGAAAAAATTGCCTGCCTGCTCTGATATATACTCCCTCTGTGCCTTATTTTCTCCTATCTTGACTTTGCACAGTTTTAAGAAAGCAACACTGTAATTGCAATTTGTTTTGAAAAGAGACAATTTAACCACAAAAATACAAAATGCTTTTCTTGAAACAAAAGAATAGACTTTTGGGCAGGGTTGGTCCTGGAATGAGAAAAAAATCACAAACGCCCTATGCACAACAACAACAACCCAGTTGGGTCCCAAAAAAGTAGGGTCTGGGGAGGTTGTGTGTACGCACTATGCAGACGCTCCTACTCGAAAATAGTTTTTAGACCCTACTTTTATTTTGTGTGAAATACTATTTTAAAAATAAGTGCTACATTTGACTTTTCGTGATCAGTAGTCAATAAAGCAAAAATTTAACTATTAAAATATATTTTTATACATTTAAAAAAACTTTTTTTTTAAGTATCAAATAAAGGTCAACCTCTAAAAATATTAGGTCCTACAAAATTGGGGGTCCTGTCCGGGTGTACATCTTGCACACCCTCAGGGTCAGCCCTGATTTTGGAATGAATGCAAAAGAAAGAAATAAGATTAATAAAGAGAGAACAGGGGGTGGGGGTGGGGATAATAAAATTGCTCAACATATCTTCATGATTCAGGGCTCTTTAAGCTAAAAAATGATTAATCTGCAGTTGGTTAAAACCGCTTGAAAATCTGCCAACAGAATGAATTTTTTTGTGTTAAGTACTAATTACCTTTCCAAAACTGTCTTCGACAGAGTGTTAAAGATGCTGCTATCAGTTACTTGGGCATGCGGAGCATGGGAACATTTCTTGGCCCACTGTAAGATCCCTTTATTTTTCTGGAAAGTATATTACGGTGTTAAACTTTTCTGTTGTCAAATGTTTTATGGCCTACCAAGACATTTTTTAAAAGTGGACACAACTAACCATACATACATACATATCAATTTATACTTGGTACAAAACAAGAGGTGACATGATTATGTTATTTTATCAAATGATCAATGAAAATATGCAAGGGAAAAAAGATTAAGTTTGACCTTGCAGTAATAACTGAGAATTTGTTTTAGGGACTGAGGAATTACTACGTATAATAATCATAATATGGAGTAATAAAACCATCAGAGTATTACTTGGCTACTCGTGAGTCATGACTCTTAATGTTTTCTGGTCTTTATATGTGTGCATTGCATAGGCTGTGGGGAACATTTCTAGCAGACATTTTTATTCAGATGATTGGGACAGATTATGCTCGAATTCTACGAGCAATTTACGCTTTTGCACAGGTAAACTTAGCAACTTCAACTTGATCCCTTCATAATACGGAGTAATTGAAAACGGGTACTATATTACTTCAGTTCAAAAATGAAGTGTCTAACTAACTACTCCTCCCCAACAAACTTTACCCACCATTTCTTTTTGGAAGTCTCACTTAGTAATAAACATGTGGCTTGCAAGATTTCTCTCTTATACGGAGTATTACAAATTCTAACCATACATTTTTCCCCCTATTTTCAACACTTCTCTTTTCAACACTTTCTCTTAAATTTGCTTTTCTTTTGTTTTAGATTCGGATCATCCGCACGCACAAGTCATGAGATGTTATTTTAAGGTAAGCAGGAGACATGAAGTTTCACGTGTCAATAATNCAAAGACCCAAACGGTTTGTGAGCCACTAACGATGTCAGCCTAAGTGTGAGCCTCGGTGTGGCGGTAGCAAAACCCATTCATTTCGAGACTCATGCTTTTGGGTCTGTTTGGTTGGAACTTGGAAGGAACGACGACCACTCTGTTCTTTATTCCCCCAAAATATAATTGACCATTCTCTTCTATCAATTGCTTTCGCAATTTCCTCCTTCCTCTGTGTTTGGATGTGTATATTTCTAACTCTTTATTTGAATTATATCTTTTAATTGATTCTTTTAAGGTTTTTTTTAACATCTTTATTTAAAAAGTTTGTGTATTGTTAAAACATTAAAAAAAAGATGGGCCCTATCTATTGCTTGTCGCAAAGTTATTTATGTATTTGCCTTTTATTGCCACAACTCTCATTGTTTTCTTTGTACTCTCTCATTGTGCTCAATAGTTGTATATGCTTTTATTGAATTCTTGATGGTCAATAATTAACCTGGCTTTGATTTTAAAAAAGCATTAAATTGAAGAGTTAAATACAAAATATCACTTCACTTTTAATGTAGATCTTTGAATTTCTTGAAATAAAAAAAATTAAGTGGGTGGGGGTGGGGGATTAAGTGGGTTTAAGAAGTAAAATGTGAAAATTTGAGAACAAGTTGGTAACCTGTAAAAAAAACAATATAAACTCGAAGGATGAAAAGATCTGTTTCATAGAGACTATACACGATCTTTTAATTAAAGAGTGGCTATTTGTATTTTTTTCCACTTGATTGATTTCTTTTCACTAGTTGTTCCATCATTTTAATTTTAGTAAATTCTTATATGAACCCAAAGTTTATGGGAAAAAACATAGACAATTTCACAAAAATAATATTCCATAGATAAAAAGTGTACAAATAAAAGTTCTTTGTAAAAGAGAAATATAGTGAATTATTTACTCCTCTTTCATAGAAAGAGCAGAAATAGAAAATTTTTCAAAGAATTGAAGTAGAGGAATATTACATGTTCTTTAATTTACTCGGTATAACTTTTTTATGTAAAAAGATTTATGAATATTAAAAAGTCCTAGTTTAAAGTATTCATTACTTTTTACCCCAAAATTTACAATTTTCGATTGCACCTTCTAGGGGTTCTTACACGTGAGAAAAAAATATATTCTATTTGTCCTAAAAGATTGTCACAGTTTGATTTTTTGAGTGAAATTGTGGCATCATTTAATTATAAATTATAGAAAAAATATATTTAGTTATAACATAAATTTAGTAAAATTAGGTTTATTTTAAAATATAGTTTTAAAATATCAAATTTATATATATATTTTATTATTTTAAATCATAATCAAAGAGAGTAACTGACCAAGAAAGTCAAATCGTCACCATCTTTAGAAAGGTCGGTGCTCAATTTACACACATTACATAAAATTAGTTTTTTTTTTCAAAACCATCTAAATTAGGATTATTGTTTTGAAAAATTAAAGATGACAAGGACCCTATAATCCTATAGACGGAGTCCAATGGGGTAATCACACCGGCCCACTTTGAATACCGCCGCCGCGACAGAGATGGAGGAAGAGGAAGGCGGAGGGCCGAGACTGAGCAAGAGATTCGCCGACAAGGGCGGTGAAGTGGACTACAAGACCAAGGCTGGCACCGCCTGGTCCCACAATTTCCTTAACCAGAAGCCTTGGCACCCCCTCTCTTACCCTAATCAACGCCGGAAGTGGATCGCCGAGCAGACCCACGCCCAGAAGCAACGCCGCTCCGACGAAATCGCCCGCGAGGTTTCTAGTTACTCCCACTGGATTCCCCCAATTACTTGAATTTTTCATTATTTGTTTCCTGAAAATTTTCAATCCACAGATTCCAGATTTCCAGCTATATATATTATGTTCCTTTATATTTTATCAATTGAGTGTTTGCTAATTATCGGCCCATTTTGCAATTCACGTTCAGTATGCTCAAGAACAGGAGTTTTTCCGCCAGACTGCTCTTGCCTCCAAGAAGGAGAAAGAAAAGGTAATGCACTCTTCCCACATTTTTTCACCTTGCATTTGATTGGTGATTGTACATTTCAGTCAATGTCTCTTTTACAGCAAACAAATCGAGCGAAATGCCAAGAAATCACTCTAAATGGGACTAAAACATACAGAAAATACTAAAATAGGTGCGCTTCAAATTTTTATTCCCAAAATAGTAGTTTGCATTGTGATAATGTGGCATTGTATATGGATATTTAACAATACATTTTGGTATTATATATTGACATGATTGGCATTGTAACTCCTATTTTGGGAATAAAAACATATAACTCCTATTTTGGTACATTTCCTATGTCTTACTCCTAGTTTAGTTTTTTTCCCCTTACAAAAGTAGGTTCTGGACTTCTGGGGAAGGTGTGTTCATCTTGCCCCTACTCGCGTAGTCGCGTCTCCTTGGAAGTAGAGAGACTATTTCCGAGAGACCCCAACGCACATTTCCTTTGAAGGATATAAATTAGTTGGATACTGTTTTCTTATTCAAAATATTCAGTCTTTTCAGCTATCAGCTATGTCAAAGTATGTATACGTAATCATGTAAATGAGTTGATTTGGATCATACTATCTTGTAGTTGGAGATGATGAAAGCAGTTAGCTTTATGTATGTGAGACCACCCGGTTACAATCCTGAAAGTGCTAAGGCTGCTGAGGTTGAAGACGAGAGGAAAAAGCAAGAGCATGTTGGAACTTCTCAAAGTGTTATGGCTGAGGGTGACTCAGAGACTAAGTACTGTTCTTATGTAGATGCATTGGTCGATTAATTTTGATTGAGCTTGGAGTGGTAAACCTGATGAAGATTTTTTGCTCTCTGATTTAGGAAGGTTGAACCTGTTGAAGAGAAAAAGAAACCAAGGCCAAAGGATGTGTTTGGACGGCTCTTACCAACAGAAGAACAATTTGAAGTCCTAAAAAATGCTCCAAGGTATGTGTTTTTTCCTGCTATCATATTGATATCTGGAATCAATACACTGGTGGTTTGTTTTTTTTCATTCCATGTATGTATGTATGTATGTATGTATGTATATTTCAAGGACGCTAAATCCAGATGGATGGAGTATATTTCAACAACAATATATTCCAAGCTATATGAGTATGATTCAAGAAGATTGTCTTGTCTTAACTCTTAAACACTAAATAAAATAGTAGGACCACGGGAGCATTGTTTTTTTGGAAATAAATTTTTAATTTAAACAAAGTTGTTTTAGTTATAGTCCCTTTCCCCCACCCCTACCTCTAAATAAACACATCCAAAAGCTTCACCTCCAAATCTGCACAAAACCCTCCATCCAACTATTCAAACCTGCCCTAACAGATCCACTTTCATTCAGAACTGTTTTGGCTCTCTTATTTAGTATTGTTGCCTTGATGGTTAGTACACATATGGATGATTATTGTGTTTATATACTCTCCAGATTGGACACAGGTGCTCCTGGAAGGGCCAAACCTTTTGCAGTTGAGATACGCAATGTCAAATGTGTAAGATGTGGAACATTTGGTCATCAAAGTGGTGATCGTGAATGCCCATTGAAGGACACTATCATGCCGAATGAGGAGAGTCGGTTGAAAAGGGATGACCCTTTAACTGCCATATTAGCCCAGACAGAGTCAGCCGAGGTAATCTTTTTATTATAAAGTGTGGTCCCACCTTTCCTTTCATGTTCTTTATATATATATATATATATATATAGTATTTGATTGCTTTGGCAGCCTCTAAAGTGGGAACTAAAACAAAAACCCGGATTGAGCCCTCCACGAGGTGGGTTTACACCTGATGATCCCAACCAGCAGATAGTTGCTGAGGATATATTTGACGAGTATGGAGGTATACTTGCTTTCATCCCAACAATAGGTCCTATCACCGCTTTCATGCAATGTATGTACCTAATTGTGCTTGTCTTTGAGGCACGTCCATATACCACATGGCCTTGGGAAAATTAAGATCATTATTGAATTAAGTTAGTTACTTAAAGTTCTAAACAGGACGTTCAGACAGTAACAGTTGAAGGTCAATTATGGATTGTGTTGTTGGATATTCAAGGGCATTTTTGGGTGTCTAGCCAAAGATCTTTTTATATACTAGGAGGCTATTTTGATGTATGTATGCATGTAGTGATCTGATATCATAATTTAGAGTCCGGTTTTTTGACAATGGATTGTCTCCCATGGGGGAGGAGGCGGGGTGTGTGAATGTGGGGGGGGGGGGGAGTCGAAGGTAGCATTCTAGTGTAGTCAAATTGACCCGGTGTCGTATAATGACACCGGGATTGGGTGTCAAAAAAACATCAATGCATGTATGAATCCATATTAATCTACTCATACACAGGATTCCTAGCTGAGGGCGACAATATTCCTGACCTGCTGCTATCCAACTTTTCAAGAAGTATGACAACCAAAAAGAAGAAGAAATCAAGTAAGAGCAGGCATAGGAGGAGATCGCCCGATTCATCTGATAATGAAGAAACAGGCTCATCATCATCATCATCTTCTTCTGATCATAGAGGAAGAAGAAGATCAAAGAAGAGACACAGGGCAAAGAAGCGTCGTGAGCCAGATGACGAATCCTTTGGCAAGTCTGACCGGCATCATCAAAAGAGAAGCAGTAGTGGTATCAAATCGAGGCACTGCCGCCACTCTGATACATCCGGAAAATATAAGAGTGACGATTTCCACCACCACCGCCACCACCACCACAACCACCACAGACGCCACCGTTCGCGTTCTTTATCTGAATAACACTGCTTTTGTCCCAGTGGAGTTTTCCCTCGGTTGGCATTCACAACCAGAACACTTTTTTTTAATTTTATTTTAATTAAATCAACACTTGCCTTTGTAATGAAAATGTACTACTAGAAGTAAAAAAAAAGTTTTCGGAAAAGCTTTTTGGCTCATCCAAGTTGGAAAACTCCGGCAGGGCAGATGAAATTTGTGCATATGTAAACTTTTTCTTTGTTTGGCATAATCTTTAACATTTTGAATGTATTATCCACCTATTTAGCGTTAATAATGTTTTGAAAAAGTTATCCGAGAGTAGCTTTTAACATTAGCGTTTTCAGAATTAATCTATATCACTAAAATTTTATCCAAAATGTTAACATTAATTTAAAATGTTGTTTCCAGACAAGACTTATGAAATTGTTAATTAATACGAACCATAAAATAATCATTCAAAATGCTCCGTACTAATCTAGATCACAAACTTTCGAAACGAACTGAAGTTAGTTTTTTGAGACTTGTTCCAATTTTAAATATTATATTTTGTTTCAAACGATATTCTCAATTTCCCTCTATCCATAAATATAAAAATTTTATTCATAGTTTGATTTCATTGTGCTTAAAAATATTATTGAGAACTACTCCGAGTACTTTGTACTGCGTAAAAAATATATGTACAGAATTTGTTTGGAAGAACAAGAAATGTTACTCCGGGTATAACTCATTTATTCATTTCCTTTTATTAAAATAATAAAAATAAAAAAAATTATTTTAAAACGATCGAAAAAATTAAAAATAAAATTTTATTTGGATTTGTATGGAGTATAGAGAAAGAGGAAACGTTTGAAAATTTCCCCATAGTACTCCGTATGAAATAAAGAACGCCTCGGCCAAATTCACAGCACATTTCTGGTTTTCTCTCTCTAGGGTTTTTGCTCGCACTATAACGAAAACATGGCTTCATCGACTCGGATTTTCGGCAACCGCTGCCGGATTCTGATGACTGCCGCTAAGAGCTCTGCTGCCTCCACACCGGTTGCCGCCGCGAAAGGTAGTGGCCTATCAAAGGGACTTCTGAAGCCGATGAAGGTTTCTCCGGCGCTCGAGAAGTTCTTAGGTGCGTCTGAGGTCTCGCGCAGCGACGCCGTTAAGAAAGTCTGGGAGTACATCAAGGCTGAAAATCTTCAGGTTTTTATTTCTCCATTATGTTTATGCATCACTATCTATTCCTCAAATCCGATGATTTTTGTTGATAATCAGTTTGTGTTTTTATCCAGTCGTGACATTTCGAATTTCCTGTATTTGATGAGTTGCTTATAGACTATAGAACCTTACTGGTTTATTTTGAGTATATTTTCTGGTATATGATATTGTATGCTTCTCTGTCATTAGATGAATGTATATGATCAATCAATAAAAGCGTCAAATTATCTTCCTTAGGATTAGCCGGGCTTATTGTTACTACAAGTGTTTTACTTCATTTTTTCGCTTTAGCCCCCCATAAACTTTGAAGAATTTCAGCATATGGACTGGTTCTTTCACAGCATTGTCTGTCATATGTGTTCTTTAATCACCTAACTTTGTTTTGTTAATTGACATTTATCCTTGAATTTATCTTATTACAAAGTGTTAGTCTAGTTGAGGTCAGTTTTGTTGACACCAAGGACTTGTGTCATAATATGACATCGGCTTATTTGAGGGCCTCACGGAACTCCATTTGATCCCGAAGTAGTCACTACCCCCCTAACCTATCTCTCCCTCCCCTCATTTTGCCAATGTGCTACAATGCTCACTTTTGGAGGGGGGGGGGNTTAAGGTCAAATGGAGCTTCATAGGGCTCTCAAATGGACCTTGTGACATTGGGGTTGGCTGTTCAAAAGAACCCAATTCTAGTTAGTAATTGTAATAATTGTGACTTGTTGATATGCAGAATCCTGCAAACAAGAAAGAGATCAGATGTGATGACAAGTTGAAGACCATATTCAGTGGAAAGGACACAGTTGGGTTTCTTGAGGTTGCTAAGCATCTGTCACAGCATTTTCCAAAGGCCACTTGATGGACCTCTAAATAAACCCCAGAAAGAAACATTTTAGGGTCCTTTGGAGCATATATAAATGACTCTTTTAGACATGCCAAATGGTTTGTGTGCCTCAAAAGCTAGTTGTTTTTGCTTCTCATTTTGGATTTTGGCCCCATGCTTCTTTCTTGTTAACTATGTAGGGTTCTTGTTGTGAATGGTGTGCACAGATCAGATTCCTAGTTTCTTTTTGCGCTACCTTAATGATGATGGTTATTTTGATTCCATGTTATGATGTTAACAACTCAAGAAAAAATCTGATTGCAGATCCATCCTATATGAAACAAACAAGGTTGCTCGGAAATGTGGACTGCTTAAAAACAAAAAGTTAAATGACAAAAATGCCATTTTGACATGTGGAGAAGTGATGTTTATAATATACCCCCCAATATACCTCGCATTTGCTGCGGTTAAACTACATCTTGTTTTCACTTGTTTCGATCATTGGGTATTGGGTCCGTGTTTTAATTTGTAGTAATGCAACACCTTTATCATTGATAATTGTAGCTGCACATAAATAAATGTTAGTATAAAAATTTGGTAGATAGACATCCAAAACTTGTTGTAAAAATCAAATTGGGCCAAATCGAGTTATTTTTTTTTAAAAAAATATATCTATTTTTAAATAATATGCAGATACGGAATATATAAATAAATTGGATTAGAAAATAATTTGAGTAAAATTTAGTAGGGAGGGAGATGCACATAGCTAGTTTTTGCCATTACTCCTACTCTCCTAGCTACTCGAAGCTAAATTCTCTTATTTGATTATCGAACTTTGAGCACAATATGCAAAAAAAAAATGTTAATATACCGAGTAAAATTAATTGAATAATTATATTTGGAAATGTGATCTTAGAATATGCTATACTTTTATAAATACTTCCTCTGTCACACATTATTCCAGAGTTAAAATGAACAAATTTAAATTATTTATTTAAATTAAATAAGGTTGGAGGGAGTACATTAAATTTATACGTCGTATTATATTTCAATACTTTCTCGGTTTCAAATTAAATCATCTGTTTACTATTTGCAGGGTCAAATTTTAGTGATAAAATAATACAGTGTAGTCATGTTACCACTAGTTTTATAGATTTTTTTGATATAGTTTTTAAATATGTAATTTTATTTTTTTAATTCTACACCATTTTTTATATAAAATAATTTGAAAATAACTGTAGTTAAACATCATAAACGAAACACGCAATTTAAATTGGGACAGAGGGAGTACAAAATAATTTTTTGAACAATTTTCATAGTATAAACACAAATGTTTATTTAATTGCCATCAAAATATATTTAATTTAATTCCCTAAAAGAAAATACTCCGTAGTCAAATTGGATATAACTCCATCTGTCCCCAAATGATTAATCTCATTATTCTTATGCCCTTTCAATAATTTTTATTTGTTTGTATATTATATAATTCGTTAACTTTTGTTTGTTAGTATAGCTTCATTGACTATTTGATAAAATAATATTTTTTTCACTTTTTATTTTTGTATAACTTTTGATATAATTTTAAAATATATAATTTTTAATTTTTATCTATACACTAAATATGTAATTCATTAGTAAAATCATTTTAAAAATTATACTCGGGTACAATATTTTATAGTATTATAAGTCAAATAAAGATCCTGATTCACTCCCCAAACCAGCATCGGCTCATCGCCTCTGTCATCCCGCCTCCAATTCTCGACAGAAAAAAACAGGAGTTAAAACCATGGCGGCTAATAAGGATGAAGGAATAGAGTACCTTGATGTACTCACTAAAACGGGTGAAAAAACTGGCATCTCAAAACCAAGGTACCCATATGCGGCATCCATAAACCATTGAATTTGCTCAAATTCCCACTTTTACTTGCTTTTTTTTCTTTAAATAGATCAATATATTTCAAATATTGATATTCAGATTCAACAATGTGATGATGTTTCTGTGCCAATTTGTGAATAAAATCATTTTGCAGGAAAAGAGACAATTTTTTTGGGGATGGGGGGAGTATACTGGAAGTAAATGACTAATAAAATAAGGGGAATTTACCTAAATAGTACTAAAACATAGTGATTTTCTCGATGTAGTATCGTATAATTTTATTTGCCAATGTAGTACAGTGTTTAATGTCCACTGGACATTGTTCCAACTAAATGTCACTGTTCCCGCCACTAGTCATTATTCAAATACCCGAGTACTATTTAGGAAATACAAAAGTTGAAGTATTACATTGGGAAAACACATAATGTTTTAGTACTATTTAGTGCAAATTTCACATAAAATAAGCATATTGAACTGAAAAAATCTTTTTGGGACAGAGGGAGTATATTTCAAAGCATCACTAGTAGTATATCAAGCTTTACATATTGCTCTCTCTATGACTTTTTATATATATATAACAAAAATAGTGATGGGGTTTTGAGGTGTTCCATTTGTGCACAGAGGGGAGGTGCACAGAGATGGGGATTACCATCGGGCCGTTCACGTTTGGATTTATGCTGAAAGTACTCAAGAACTGCTTCTGCAACGCCGTGCAGACTGCAAGGACTCATGGCCTGGTCAATGGGATATATCAAGTGCTGGTCATATATCTGCCGGGGATTCGTCTCTAGTTTCAGCAGTGTAAGCCTTTAATTCCTTTATGAAGAAAGCTAGGCAGTGTTTAGGTGGCCTCAAAATCAAGTTTGACAAACAGAATGTTACTAAAAACGAATTTAAGGCTTATTGAAAAGTTTTATGATTAGATATTATGTTAATCTTTTGTTCATAGCAAATCTAAAACATATGTCATGATATAGAGCAAAGCGTAAAGAAACAATAATAACAACCCAGTATAATCCCAATTGAATTGGGGTCTCGGGAGGTGAAGATATACACAATCTTACCCCTGTAAAAACAGATAGACTGCATTTACTGTCCAAAACTTCACAGAAAGTAAGAAGCAAGATAAGTTTAATGTTCCATTGTGATTTAGCCCATTATGTGCTCGAAACTAAAACGCTGACAGTAATGACTCTGTTTGGGAAGTTTAGTTTAGTGTTTCATTTTGACTTAGTTCATTATATCAATTATAGAGTACGTCATCTAAATCTAAATCTAAATCTAAATATTTTCCACTCCAAAAGCCTCCATCTAAACGGATCCTTAGACTTCTGATATTAATCCTTTCTAGTGAAATGGAGTACAATTTTCTTCTATCCTAAACACATTATATGAGTAGTGGTATGAAATTTTTTTAAAAAGTATGGAGGAGTATTATTAGTATATATTATTCACATGCTTCAGATACCTCATTGTCTATTTTCTCTTTTATTGAATGGACCTTTTTTCCCTCCATGCGTGCAGGAGGGAGCTTCAAGAAGAACTCGGCGTAACACTTCCAAAGGATGCATTTGAATTAATTTTTGAATTTCTTCAAGAATGGTTAGTGGATGAAGCTCTCCTCATGTTTTTTTCTATATTATATATGGATTTTGTGTGCAGATTTCACTAAATGTGAATTTTTTTCCTTTTCATTTTCTCTGTTCCGTCCCTCGACATATTTTTGGTTGCAGTGTTATCAATGATGGAACCTACATCAACAATGAATACAATGATGTATATCTGGTTACTACGATATATCCAATTCCCATGGATGCCTTTACTCTACAGGTAATTTGATTTGTCAAATTGTATCATACATATTTAATTCTCTCACTGATTTCAAAAAAAAACAACCCAGTATAATCCCAACTTCGTTGGAGTCTGGGGGGTGAAGATATATGCAGCCTTACCCCTGCAAAATACAGAAAGACTGTTTCCGTTAGACCCTTGATGCATTACCGCATTTACTATTCATTATTTCTTTGAAAGTAAGAAGCAGAGGAAGTATAATGTGCCATTTTTGTTCTCTCATTGATTCGACTCACTTAGAAATCTGAATGCTCCTTTTTGCTTTCTTTTGTCTCTTGGTAGGAATCAGAAGTTTCAGCTGTGAAATATATCTCTTACCAAGACTATAGAAGTTTACTTGCAATGGAAGATCCTCATTACGTGCCTTATGATGTCAACAGTTCGTATTGTCAGCTCTTCGAAGTAATTGAGAAAAGGTTCGCCAAATACATATATGAGGAGATCTCCTCTCATGAATAAGGCCAAATGAATAGTGTGTTTACTTGTAGGTGCTTACAAAATTTCTTTAGGATTCTCTGTTCTAATGCTACCTTTCCTCCACATCATTTCCTGTACAAAAAAAATACTATATTCGATGGTAAACACTTCGTCTCACAACGAATTTCATACTTACCTTATTTGAATGTCCCCAAAAAAACTTCACACTTCTATTTTTTTTCTTTAAAAGAAAGGAATATGTGGCCTACAAAAGTTCTCACTCTTCTAAAAAAAATTCAACCCCATACTGCTCACTTTTTAACACATTTTTTGTATTCCATAAAGTCAAACAATGAAGTTCTTTGTAGGACAGAGGGAGTTGTTCTTATAAACAGGCAAATAGTAGATTCAAAATTAGAACACATCCATGCATCTTTATGTACTTAATAATAGTGCCCATAAGAATAGCTACTTTTTTTAAGAATAACAATAAATCATCTTGCCATCTTGCTCTATGTTACATCTTTTACATAAAAATGTTTGGTTGGTCAAGCGTGTAGAATTGCTACATACAGGTACAAAGAAAATGTTGAATTGCGGAGTTTGAACCTACAAAAGCAGCTCAATCGTTATGCTCGGGTTTCACTCACTGCAGAGGTTTGGACCCCTCGCTTTTTTCTTCTCCAGTTATATTCCGGTCATCTTGTTGAGCATAAGTCCATATCTGCAGAATAATCCGTTGGGAAATGAGGTGTAATTAAGCAGGGGTTTAGCTATACTTAAGGAATAAAATAGTAGCTTTAATTGGAATGGTCTTACATATGCAGGGATTGCAGGCTAATAAGATGGGAAGGGATGAAGGGTAAACCCCCCTAGGGAAAGTTAAAGTCTTAAAGATTTTTTTTCTTTCTGCACTTATCTTGCCTAGTTTTATTGGGCACAATTTTTAATAAAGTGAAAACTGTGCAGTTGAAATTTTTGGAGAGAAGAGAGAAACTGTATGAATCACATATTCTTTTTCATATATGGAAACATGCAACTTAAATTGAGACGGAGGAAAAAGAAAACATGCAACTAAAATTGGGGCATGGCACAAAGGGAGTAGATATTAGATGAGACACATTCACAAGTTGAAGTTCAAAAAACTAATAAAAGTTTTCCTTGATGACAGGTTGCCGGGATAAGCGATGCAGACAAGAAAGCTCTAGCTCTTCTTGTCAAAGCTGCAAGAATTATAGATGAAATTTTTTATTTGCAGGTTGTATCTTTGCTAGTATGCTGCTGTTTACAATTAAAGTTCACTACTACTCTTTCTGTTCCATATCTTTCTTACCATTTTGACTTGATACGCATTTTAATGTCAGATGAAAAGATGTTTGACTTTCTGTTTTGCCCTTGGTGGTGTAGTAAATTGAAGAGACATGTAAAATAGATAAATAGTGCAAAAGTAGGAGTAAAGTAGTCTTTTAGTTGTTAAAAAGGTGAATAGTCTTTCCATTTAAGAAAAAAGGAAGAAAGATACTTTGTTAGGACGGTCCAAAAAGGAAATTGGAAGAAAGATATAAGACATATGGAGTACATTTTACCTTGTGTTCTTATTATTAGTCATGGGTTTGGCCTAAGGGAATTATTAAGAGCATTTAAAGTAAACTTTATTTTTGGAATATGTCCTTCAACTTTCATGGATTATTATGAGGAATATATTTTAGAATTTTCAAGAAGCTAGGTTAATTGTGGATGAAAAAAAAAACTAAAATTGCATTGATACCACAAAATTGGCTTATATTTGGGACCATACTAACATGTGTAACAGGACTGGATGGAGCAATAAATAATACGGAGTGTTCTTTATTTCATTTTTCTAGGAGAGCCTTTACATGAAATAGGGATCATAAATATGAGAAAATCTAATTCCCATATTGAAAGCACGACATTTCAGTGAAGACCAGCTTCTCATGCTGTTTCTGTTTGTGCTCATTTGTAGATGCAAGGATCTTATGGATAGAATTGTCTTTTTTGCCCCCTTTGTCCTCAACTCATTCTAAACAGGTCTGGCATAGCAACCCATCTTTGAGAGATTGGTTAAAGGAGTATGCTGGAAAATCTCAGTTGGATAAATTAAAATGGACTTATTATCATATTAACAAAAGTCCATGGTAGGAGTGCTCTCACACATTCATTTCTCTCATGGAATCTCTCTGCCTTGAACATTCAGACTATGTTTAAAACTCATAAAATGGTAAAGAAAGGGTAAAGTCCTAAGAAAGTAATTTTTTTAATGTTTGGTTTTCATTAGAAAATATTAAGAAAATTTCTTAAATTTTTCATATATTTGGATTTCTTAGTCTTTTATACTCCGCAATATCTATAACAATATAAAAATGAGTTTGACCAAATAACTAAAATTGATTTATTAGCCTGAGCTAATCTTTAAAATTCCCTCACATTTTCTTTTCTTCCAATTTCTCAATTCTTTCCTCAGGCGTATCAGTGTGTTTTTTTTTTTTTTTTTTTTTGCATGGGTAAGGTTGCATACATATTGACCCCTTAGACCCCAACAGACTTTGGATTGTAGTGCATGCATGTATGCCTTCTCATTCAACTTTTCTATCAAGCAAACAATTTCTTTTTTGAAAATACTTCCTTTTTATCTATTAAAAGGACTTTTGTTTCCCTGAATGTAGATAAACATATCGCAGTGTAATCGAATACTTATTTGTAGGTCATGTCTGGATGAAAATGAGGCATTTTTGACGACTGCAGACTCAGCTGTCAAACTACTTCCAGAGGCTACAAAGCCTGTGACCGGGTGGAAAGGTCTTCAGTATAGGCTAGCATTTCCAGCTATAAAACCACCTGGTGCCAATTTTTATCCACAAGATATGGATAAAATGGTATATGAGAGGAAGTTAGCCTTTTCCTGATTCACAACTTTTTTTGTCAATACTTTTATTTTTTTGTCAGTGTTTTTAATTACTCCCTATGTCTCAAATTAGTTGTCCACATTCTAAAAACTCTCGGGGTCCGTTTGGTGAGTGAAATAGGGTTGATATGATATGACTTTTGAAATCTAAGAGAAATGATCTGGGTTCTGAAATCTGGATGAAAGTGTATGGAGAGATTTGAGATGATGGTTGTTAGTGGCAGTAGGAGGTGGCCAATGATGGTTGGTGTCCGAGTCTTGAGGGATATCAAAATCCCCGTATTGATATCTCCCAAAATTGGCTGATATAAAAACACCCCTATTTGGGATGGTTGTGATATTGTGAGATATCAAAGTTTGAACCCTGTTTAGGTTTCACCAAACACCCACAAAAGGGTTTTGATATCTCTACCCTTATCTCATGCACTCATCAAACGGACCCTCATTTTAAAAATGCTCAGTTTTAAGAAATAAGTTCAAAGTGTCAAATAAGACCTTCAAATGGGTTTGTAATCCATTACCTCAATAGTGCTCATACCTCATCTTTAGGATATTTTAGACAATGTATCATAATTTCTTTTATTGAATATGGAACTGGACAACTGATTTTGGACAAATGAAAACAAGGAAGTGGACAAGTAAATCCGGATGGAGGGAATAGATGATTAAATAGCGGATCCCAACAAGTGGGAAAGGCTTAGCTATTTTTGTGCAATTTTACTTGGTTGACTATATTCACTTCAAAGTTTTCTTGCTTTTATGATAAGGAATTTTCATTGTGGAGAGAGAGTCTCCCGGAGGATCAAAAGAAAGAAGCAATGGGATTCTTTAATGTAATCAAAAGGCATAGTGAATCTGAGCTGGATATTCCAAAATCTCAAAATACATCAAACCCAACCTCCTCTCATGACCTATATATTGTTCCTTATTGTGAAGAATACAACTCTCTTCTTGTTGAAGCTGCCAAGTTACTACATGAAGCGGGAAATGTTACGAGCTCACATAGGTAATTTTTGTGCTGGATACCCTAAATATTCAAAACATTTGAGTGGTGGGCATCTGATTTATGTCTGTTTCCTGTCCCTTAGTTTGGGAAGACTTTTACACAGCAAAGCTGATGCCTTCCTTTCCAATGATTACTACGACTCGGACATTGCCTGGATGGAGTTGGTTAGTTATATTTGCCTTTCTGTATTTTGGGTCTAGCTGCTAGTGTCAGTATGTGTGCTTCTTGTCTTTGTGCTATTACTTTGTTCTTGCTAGCGCTACCTTGTGTACTTTGTGTGCTTCTGTATTTGAGACTGGCGTCTCTTGGAAACACCCTCTCTACATTCGAGTAGGGCTAAGATCGGCTTACACACGCCCTCCCTATACCCTACTTTATGTGGGATACTACTAGGTTTGTTATTGCTGTTGTATAATTAGTTTAGATGCTCTACCCAAGATTTGGAGGACATTTAATGACTTCTTTATATTATTATCAATAGGGCAGGGAATTAAGTATATTTAGCTCCAGGATTTATTAATTACTGTAGATTGATTAATCTAGTTATGGCTATGCAAGAAGCAGTTTATCCATTTTCACATTGTGATATGGAAGACAATATTGCAGTAGATGACTTTTTTTAATTTTCAATTTGTATTTTTTATGCTTCGTGAACCACTTCTGATGCCAAAATACCCAAATGGCTTTTTTAAGAAGTTTTGCCTTTGATTATTTCCTTGTGAAATCAATGCTTAAGTTTGTAGGCATCTTTTACTTTTGTGTCCTTTCATTGTGGCTTGAGAGTTTTGATTTTGTTTTCTCGTTTTTGTCATCTCAAGGACTCTAAGTTTGATGTAACCATTGGTCCATACGAAACCTATGAAGATGCACTTTTTGGATATAAGGTATCATTAAATGCTTATTCACTTTGTGATCAATTGTGCCCAAAATGAACTTGATAATCTATTAGTAGAAATTCCGGTTTTCTTATAGAGTTTTTAACGACAACAAATAACTTGTTTTCTGATTTCTTCATAGGCTAGCTTTGAGGCATTTATTGGAGTCCGAGATGACGAAGCAACAGCTCAAGTAAAGCTGTTTGGTGACCATTTGCAGGTGATTTTATTATTGTTTTTTTGCTGCTGTTCTTATAATAATAATAATAATAATAATAATAATAATAATAATAATAATAATTATTATTATTATTATTATTATTATTATTATTATAATACACCACGGTTCTTTTGACAACACTCCCTAATGTCATATTATGAGAACAACTCAAATTGGAGCGCCTAGCTCCTTTCCTAAAATTGGTGGTTCCTACCCCCTAACCGCCACCCTACCCCCACCCTGGATCGCCGATTTGGCAGCCAATCTGGGGGGTGGGGCTGGGGTGGGGGAGTTTGGGGGATATGAACCATCAATTTTAGAAACAAAGCACCATAGGTTGAAGCATAATATGAGTATATGAAAACAAGAGTTGTTGTCAAAAGAAGGGGGCCGATAATAATAATTGTTATTATAATGTCATTCTTATCCCTTTAAGTTGATCTAGGTTTTGGAAAAGAACCTTCCAATGGATGACATCTATAAGTCAGAAGATGTGACGTCTGCTCCTATTCGGGTCATCCAACTTCTTTACAATTCAGGGGTGAGTCTTAAGTTAAGTTAAACAACAGCTTTTAAGTCATCGTACCATAAAATGAGTCCTTTTTCTCCATTTTTTGTTTCATAGAGGTTGGAGCATTAGTTAGAAATCTCCCACCCACCACATTTTTTTCCTTTGAAATATCCTCTCGTTTTCGATTTATTTTATTCTCTTATCTTTTTTGAGTTCAAAATGAACCCGCAAAGTTTTTTGGGAATATAATGTCTATTACATATCTAACTGAATTAGGATACTAAATATAATACAGAGTATCTTACATTTGTTCTTTGTGATCTTGTAGAATTTTAATTTGAACTTTTTGCTGCAATTAAGGCATAACTAACAACTTAGTTGGGTCAAAATATTGATAAATGAGATCTTTACACAGTTCTTCCATTGTTTGGCAGAATGTGGAAGGCCCGCAAACAGTTGCATTCAATCTTCCAAATGATGAAACAATAGTGAAGGATAGAGGAACATCAATGGTTTTGCTTAAGAATGTTTCCGAGGCGAAGTACTAAAAGTTCTTTTCTTTTTCGTTTTGAACACTTTACCTTTTCTTTTCTCTAAATATACGGAGTAATTTTTTTTCAAATGTTTGTTTGCCTGTTTCGTGGAGATCTAGTATCAGAATAATTGGATAGTCCGAGGAGCCTTAGGTCATATTTCTGGCTGGCGTATCTTTTTGCCTTTGGTCGTAACTTGTGTTTGTGGTCTTGAGTCCTGTTGTTTGAATATGTGGATTTCTTCTTCTCTTTCCCTCTTTGCTCTTTTCTTATACTTCCTTTGTGCTTCGTTTGTGCATGTGATTTGCATGCCCGATTTGCCTGTTGATTCTGCTTGTCTGTTCTTTTGTATTTGAGCTAGGGGTCTCTTGGAAACAATCTCTCTACTTCCAATTAGGGGTAAGGTCTGGGTACACTCAACCCCGGAGACCCTACTTTTGTCAGTTTTACTGGTTGTTTTTTGTTTGCACGGGCTTCTGTGTTTGAGCCGAGGGTCTCTTGGAAACAGTCTCTATTACCAAGTAGGGTTAAGGTCTAAGTGCACATACCCTTTTCAGACGCTACTTCTTGTAGGATACATGGCTTGTTGTGTAACTCTTTCCAATTGTTAGAACTTAAAACACTTGATCATGTCTAATTTGCTGGCTGTTGGTGCTTTTGGGCTTATTTTATGCTTCTGCTGCTGCATAGGTTTAAGCTCATTCTCCAGCCAATAGCTGATGTGTGTGTTAGCAAAGAACTTCGGAATCTTGTGGATTTTGAATCTTTCTTTACTCACACAATATGTCATGAGTGCTGCCATGGCATTGGCCCTCATACCATCAAACTTCCAAATGGGAAGACATCAACTGTAAGATTGGTGAGTTTTCATTCCAGCACTAATTTATGGGTAAAATTAAATCAACTAACCTAACCACTTCTTGACGTTCTCTTGGAATCTACCTCTCTACTTCCGGGTAGAGGTGAGAGTTGCGTACCCACTTCCCTGACCCTACTTTTGTGGGATTTTACTGTGTTAATTGTTATGGTTTACAAGTGTTTTAAAGGCAGTTTGATATCTCTCGTCTTATTGTGTGTCATAGGAGCTTGAAGAGCTCCATTCAGCAATGGAAGAAGCTAAAGCAGATATTGTCGGACTGTGGGCCCTAAAATTCCTAATTGATGAGGTATTGAATGAGATATATAGCCATGTGACGGGTATATTGGGACCGAATCAAATTTATGTATTATATTAAGTCCCATGTACCCAACCCATCTAATCATATTATATTTAATGTTAGGCCCAAATTGCTAAGGCCTAAGTTATTGGGTTGGGGCAAAATTCACGTGAAATAGGTTGGGTTGAACCCAACCCATAAGTGAGGTAAGTCCACCTAAACTTGGGGTGAGGTGCGGCTAGGCTTGGCATATAAAAATGCATTATCCCATGATCTCGGATATCATGTCCCATGTTCCATCACTTTCCTAGAAGGTAGACCGTGAGATATGGTTACCAAGGCAAGGAGATTGACCCATGTATTGTACATACTCTTCCTCCATACATGAGGAAGGGATCAAGTTCTGAATAGAATAAAGAGTCTCCTAAAAGAAAGTGTGAATAAATCCTTTCCCTTAAGAAAAAATGTCGGAAGTTAAAATTTGGGGAGAGCAAAAAAAGAGAATATTTCTTTTGGGGACAAAGGGAGTATTACATAATAATTCTCATAAATCACCCTAAATTTCATATTTTCTACAAAAACACTGACTCATTGAATTGCATTTAATAGATTAGCTTATTTCAAAGAAAGATCATCTCTCTCTGCTCTATTTTGGCCAGGATTTGCTTCCAAAGAGCCTACTGAAATCAATGTACGTCTCCTTTCTTGCTGGATGCTTCCGCTCTGTGCGCTTTGGGTTAGAGGAAGCCCATGGGTAATTAAGCCTTCATTATATGATATTCATTGTAGTGTTTTTTTGTGTGTCCTTCATAATCGCATGGATTGGATATATTCCGCTAATAATGCTTGTGATTTATTTGGAAACATCGTTATCAGAAAAGGCCAAGCGCTTCAGTTCAACTATATGTTTGAGAAAGGGGCTTTTGTTTTTCAATTCGAGGATGAGACTTTCTCCGTCAACTTCAATAAGGTAAAAAGATGCAATCCTTTCATAAGGGTATATAGTGATCGGTTCAAATATGTATAGTGAATTAGGCCCAATATACCCAGTTCATTTCATAATTAATACTCCCACATGAAATGCTTCGGGCTAGGGAATAAGACTCATAAGAGATTGATTGCCTACAATAGTACAATCCTCTCCATGTTCCCCATGAATAGTCCCTCCTAGCTTGGAGAGGGGATCACACTCTTGAAATACAAATGCCATATTATCGTTTCATCTCTTTCATATTTACGATGAACTTTATTTAGAAGTGAGAAATTTCAACTTACAAGAGTCACACATTCATTCTCCAAAAGGGAAAGCGGGAAAAGTGTAAAGTTCATTTTGAGACATCCGAAACCTAAAAAGTAAACTTCATGAAAAGAGTATCTACTTGGCCTCTTTCTAATTCTAGGAGTCGCCTATTGAGGTTTAAATGGTTTACTGCAAATGGTTTGTAATTTTTCCTATTGTGTGGAAGGTTGAGAGTGTTGTTGAGAGCTTGAGTAGGGAAATTCTTACCATACAAGCTAGAGGTGATAAGGATGGTGCAAGAATGCTTCTTCAAAAATATGGTGTTATGACTCCACCATTGCAAAGAGCACTCGAAAAGCTGGAAACGGTTCAGGTATATACATGATCTTCTCAAGAACACGTTTGTTTCTTTTCGTTGTCGATATACTTTCTACCAAACACTAACTTTTTCGCTTGTAGCAATAGGAAATGGAGTAAAATGATATTTTTACCCTTATTTTACTCTTACCAATGGAGTTCTAAATTAATGCAAAAGAAAAACATGCCAAGTAAAATCCCACAATAGAGTTTGGGAAGAGATGTGTATACGCAGACCTTACTCCTAAGTTCCAAGAGACTCTCAAGGCAAACACAAAAGCACAGACAAAGTAAACACAGTAGCACAAAGTAAGCACGCACCGACATTAGCAAAAAAAAAAAACATAAACTACCAACTAAGGCCCGAAGGTCTATCAAACAACTCTAGTCCTAGATTTCGAGACGTTTCAATCTAAGTTCAAATGCACCAAAATGGACGTGCCGTGCCGTGCCATATATACTTTCAACCAATTACAAAAAAAAGTGGCGGGCAAATCCGATGGACCCTGTCAAGGAATTCCACGGCCTCTGGGGCTACGGAACCAAATGTATCAAAAGCAAATGGGATAAACTATAACTTTGTTCAGTAAAGAGATTAAACAAAAGCTCACTCTCATGGAGATTCACTTCATATTTTTATTACTTGCTTAGCTTGTGAATCATAATCACCTATCAGATTTTATTTATCTTATCCTTAAATGACATATTTCTTCTTGCCCATTGTTGATCTTCAGGTTCCAGTGGACATAATTCCTGAATTTCCTATTGCTGACCAAATCTTATGTGAAAGCCATTGAATACTCAAAGAAAGAAATAAAGCAGCACCTGTTATTGAAGTACACATTCGAGTGGGCTTGTAAACAAAATGAATAATTTTGATTTGATTCGTGATTCGTACTTAAAAAAAGAATAAGAATATAAATAGTCATTAGTATTTGTTACATTTTCAAATAAAAATGTGTATCTATTCAATTCGATAAGTTTGAAATATATTTGAATACAAATTTACAAATAAAAAATAGTAACTCTTTTTGTGTTATTAACTCAATTACAATATGTAGTAATTGTTTATACATACTCCCTCTGTACATAAATTATCTTTACATTGTTTATTATATTGTTTGACTAAAATTTTTATTTATTTCTTCTAATATTTTGTCAAATGAGTCACGAAAATAAAAAGGAATTATTTTTTGTTTAATGTATTAAAAAAATATTGTTTAAAATAAAGTTCTACAATGAATTTTTTTATACTCCGTATAAAATAAGTTATGTGAACATGTTTTTTTTAAAGAATTAAATGAAACGTGTGGACATGCTGAAATATGCAAACCCGCGTCTTAGTAACGCCATGAATGGAACAAACGAATAGAAATATTCTTCCCTAAAAAAAACTTTATCCATTTATTCCCTACTTTTTAGTTGCTACAAAATTCAAAAACATTTAAAAACTTAAATTATGTACTTAGAATTTATTTAGACTATAGAGAACATTGTGAGCTACATGTTCATGACTAAAAAAAAGAAAAAAAATAAGTAAAATATCATTTTTAAACGTCCAAAAGTAGAAAGTATGTAAAGTTTATTTGGGACACAGAGATACTAAAATAAATTTTCCTCTAGACCTGACAAAAAAAGGCTTGATTTGTTTTTAACCCGGGAACCGACGTGAAAATAGTGGGTTTTAAACAAAGGTTTTGTTTACCAAATCCGAAGTTGACCGCACCCGAAACAATCCGCTAAAAATGGGTCAAATCCGACCTGACCGAACCTAAACTCAGCATGACTAACTGATTTTCCAACTCTATTTATCCCTATAAATATAGCATTTGTCCCTTCATTTTTTATCAACTCTTAAATAGCTCTTCTTTCAATTCATTCATGCATTTATTCTATCTGCTGCAATATTAGTTTATTTCTTACTTCGAAACCACAATTCGTAAGTATGATCTTGATTGATTGCCCCGTTCTTTGGTTATTATTAAGCAATTGAATTTTAATTTCTTTTTATTCATAAATAAACTATTTCATAAATGCATATACACTATTTTTTGATTGGCTATGCATTTAGTTTTTCATTTTTCAAGTTCATCTTTTCTTAATTACAAAGCATAAAGTAGAAATCAAATTTGCACACTTTAATATGCGCATATATTAACACATATGGATTATATGTTACGTACGTTTTTGCATTAATACGTATAGTCTACAGAGTAATTAAGTTTTTATTCATTTGATGATCGAATTTTCATCCTCTCTGAACTAAAAAGTTGAAATGAACAAATATTCTAAGACAAAAATTGTAGTAATCTTTCACTTTCCGTCACGATGGATTTTTTACATTGTCAACAAAATCTTCACTATTTGCATAATTTTTTTTAAAAATAATATAATCATGTCAGCTATTATTTTGAACAATATTTGATGTAGATTTTAATTCTTTAAATTCAATTTTTTTAATTGTAGTGTAATTTTTAATTAAAGCAAATTTAAATAATGTCAGCCAAACATTGAAAATTTTGTCAAGAATCCATCACGAGGACCTGAGGTCAAACTTAGAATTCATGGGCATCCTTAATAGTTACTGTAGTACATAAATATATTTATAAAATTACGACACACGTACATTTATTTAATTAATTAATTTATTTCTATGAAAAGAATTATAGACCATTATACAGAGCTACTCCCGCTGTCTCATTTTAAATTGTCTGTTTGCATTTTTCCTCCGTCTCAAAATCAATTGTTTGTTTCTTGTTATCGTAAACTTTTAAAAGTAAAATACCTAAACTACCCCTAAAAAAAGTCACTCTTCTCCAGCTTATCTTCTCATTCATTGTCACCCCTCCAAAAAAGTAATGACAATTTCGAAAAGTCAACTCTATTTTTTCTCTTCCTTAAATATGCTCCAAAATCAAAACGGACGATTTAAAACGGAACGGAGGGAGTAATATATATGATATAATATATATATGAAAAAAAATCATAGACCGTTGAATTTTATTTATTTTTAAAGTTTTTTTTGAAAATATTTTTTTATTAAGTGTGTAACTATTTATTGATTTATTTATTCATAATAAAGAAGAAAATGCAAGGGAAAGATAAAGGGTTTCTCTCTTCATATGGTGGGTATAGTTGTCCTTCATCGCCTCAAACTTACCCTCCACCACCATTTCAAAGTTACCCTCCACAAGGGTATCCACCACCTTCATTTGGAGGGTATCCACCCCATGGATATCCTCCACCTTCTTATCCCCATCCCCCCGGCGGCCACCACGCTTTTCCGGCCAATTATTATCACCACCACCAACCAGGTAAGTGTTGGACTTTCTACTTACATTAAGAACTAAATGAATGTGGACATACTGTATGTCCACATTCATTTGTTATTTAACATCACGTTCTCACATTCTCCATATATATACTCAGGAGGGCATCTTGGGTATGGGGCGTTAGCGGGAGGTGTTGCAGCAGCTGCCAGATACGGGCATCATCACCACCTAGGGCACGGTGGCAGATACTACGGGCACGGCAAGTTTGGGAAGCATGGAAAGTTCAAGCTTGGAAAGTTTGGAAAGCATGGCAAATATGGAAGAATGCACTTTGGCAAATTCAAGAAATGGAAATAGGTTATCCATGGCTGCATGCAAAATAATAGAACTTATCTCACGACTCGAAGTCGTTTTACCAAAAAAACATCAATTTAGTCGTTGTGCTAGTTACATTTGTAAGGTGGAAACGGTCGGGGAGACGTGTTTGATGAAACATAAAACGTTCACGGACTAAATTGATGCATTTTGTTGTATGAAAACTAAAAATAGTGTATCCATAATGGATGGACCTCCCATGTACTTCATTCATATACAGATGATGTAATTGTTACTTCAATAGCCAAGGTAGACGCCACAAGCATAATAATGAATCAACGTAGTCCATACGAGACATTATAAAATATAAAAACAGCCTTTTATGAATCCCAAACACTCCCCTAGACATCCTCGTAAAAACAAAAACAAAAAAAACAAAAACAGAAAACAGAAAACAGAAAACAGCACATGACTAGAAATCATGTGAAGTTCATGTGCCTCTCTAATTCCTCTCCTCTATCAGGCCTCACTATCTACACTAACCGTGCATGCATGCCATTAACTGATACAAACAATCCCAGGTTTACCACACCATGGCACAGGTTTAGCTTTAACCATGGGTGGTTAACCCAAATAAACATTCAAACGAGTGGGTCCCGAAAATATATACGGAGTGTATATATATAATATATAATATAAATACTTACCCGAGCAGATTCCGGAACAGGTTGGGATTTTGAGTGGATGGTGTCACTCCCATTTGCCTCACAAGAGCATCCTTTTCTATGCCATCTCTGGGTTTTTGCCCCTTGCTCGCTTCCTGTGCCGCATTTCCTCCATGTCCATTTGTGTCAATTTGCCACTTTGAAGTCGTCGCCGCGTCGCCATGAAGGGAGACTTGGCTGACATCATCAAGAAGGCCTTCCAATTGTATGAAAGGATCATCCATCAGTGGTTGTGCTACGGTGGGTGTCGCGGCACTAGTGGTCGGTTCCCCACCCAAGTCAAGCAAGTCCGGAGGTGGTGGCTGTGGGGTTGCCGGTTTTACCAGCACGCCACTGTTGGAAGAAGCTCTGCTGTGGTGGGCAGTTGCAGAAGAGTGTTGCCGTCTTTCGGGTTTTGACCCGGCGCCGAAAAGCGAAGCGGCTAGTTTCTGTTTCTCTGGATCAACATCGGCAACGACTTTCTGCTGTTTTTT